GACCAAATGTTAAGCGGTCACCATGGTTTAATAACGAATGCAAAGCTAGTAAAATTGAGTTTTATAGATGTAAAAGACTATTTAGCGAAAGTCCAACTGATGTACATAGACATTTATTTTTGAATGCACGTAAACAATTTTGTAATGTAAAAAAAATCGCTAAAAGGAATTATTTTGATAGAGAAAAACGAACTTTGTCGGATCTTAGCAAAAGTAGCTCTAGAAAATTTTGGAAGTATATACGTAAATATAATAATAGATGTAATAGAAAAGGAAATGATATTAGTCTAGATGATTTTATTAACCATTTTCGTAATATTTCGAACACACAACACGAGAGTACTTTTAATGATGATGATTATAGTGTTAGAGATGAAGCACTTCACATAGACAGTCTTGATTGTCCTTTCTCCTTAAATGAGGTAAAGGAAACCATTTCCAGTTTAAAGCGTTTTAAAAGCAGTGATATTGATGGAAATGTAGCAGATTTTTTTATTGATTCAAACGAATTTATTGCACCATATCTTGTCAAAATTTTTAATGTTATTTATGATAAAGGTGAATATCCTGAGGCATGGAGTAAAGGAGCAATTGTTCCAATTCATAAAAAGGGTGATTATACTGACCCTGCTAATTATAGAGGGATAACTCTTGTAAATGTTGTTGCTAAGATATTTTCGCTTGTATTACGTAATCGTATTAATAAATTTTGTGAAAATGAAAATGTATTGAATGACAGCCAATTTGGGTTCAGAGATAAGCGTAGTACTGCCGATTGTATTTTTCTTTTGCATGCGATAATTCAGAAGGTTTTGTTAAATAAGTGTAAACTCTATTGTGCCTTTATTGACTACGAGAAAGCTTTCGATACTGTAATACACGAGGCTTTATGGATAAAATTAGTACAGTCTGGAATTAGCTGCAAAATTATTAAAATGATAAAAGCGATTTATGAAAATGTTAAGTCGTGTATAAAAAATCATGATAATAGCTCGAATGCTCAATTCTTTGATATCTCACTCGGACTGAAACAAGGGGAACCACTCTCGCCCCTTCTTTTTATTTTATTTGTAAATGATATATCTTCTTGTATTAATTTCTCACAACTTTCTAATGATGATATAAATTTATTGTCAATGTACATGTTATTGTTTGCTGACGACATTGCACTATTTACTACCAATCCTGACAGTCTACAACTCCAACTCAACCAGGTATATGAGTATTCACGAAAATGGGGTTTGAAAATTAATGTAGATAAAACCAAAATATGTATTTTTGAAAAGAGAAAATCTAGACATAACTATACCTGGTTTGTTGATAATGAGCCTATTGAAATAGTTGATTCATTTTGTTATCTTGGTATACAATTCTTTTATACTGGTTCTATGGTTAATGCTGTAAAAACTTTAAGCGACCAAGCTCTGAAGGCATATAACAATTTGTTGTCTGTGTTTAGTAGAATAAAACTAGACATTAAAACTAAATTGTCCCTATTCGACTCTCTCGTTGTTCCAATACTATTGTATGGATCTGAAGTCTGGGGAATATATAACTGCAAAGAAATCGACAAATTGCATCTCCGTTTTTGTAAAATAGTCCTTGGTGTTCGACCTCAGACTTCCAATGCTGCTGTGCTTGGAGAGCTTGGTCGCTTTCCTTTATCTGTTATCTGTAAAGAACGTGCTCTTAAATACTGGTTAAATATAATGAAATATCCAGGGTCATTAGTACATACAATATTTTTGGAACAATGTGCTTTGTTACCTAATAATACCATGTCTACTTGGTCATCGTCTGTTAAAAAACAACTTGATAGTCTTGGATATAGCTACTTATGGAATTCTCTAAACCTTGATATGAATTATTTGCCAATGTTAAAACAAAGGCTACGTGATCAGTACGTTCAAACATGGAATGATACAATAATGAATCAATCTAAGTTATATTATTATAGAAAATTCAAATGTGAGTTTAAATATGAAAAGTATCTAGATATTGTTACAAATGAGCATCAAAGAAAAGAATTGTCTCGTTTTAGACTCTGTTCCATCTTCTTGAAATTGAAAGTGGTAGATTTGCAGGTATTGATCGAAACCTACGAACTTGTAAACTTTGTTCACTTAATGTTGAATCTGAATATCATTTTTTGTTATGCTGTCCACTCTATAGAAACCTTCGTCGAAAATATAATGTTAATTATTCTTTTCCATGCATTAATAAATTTACTAGATTATTGTCTTCAAGTAATAATAGAACTATTAGGAATATTGCCAAATTTGTATTTTATGCTATGCATTTGAGAAATGAAAAACTTGCAATTATTGCTGCTTCTTAGGTTCTTGTATTATAACTGTATTGTATTTCATGTATTGTATTTATGTTAAATGTAAATTGTATTATCTTGGCCATCCTTTTGTATATTGTAAATGGCCAAAGGTATATTGTATATGCCGATTTGCCAATAAACTGAAACATTCAAATACTGTATGGACATTTCCATAATGTTTTTCACTTCTTCTTTTTTTAAATCAAAAACGAAAATTACAGAAGCGTTACGTTACATTTTTTTCTTTTTTAAAAAGGTGTTTTTCTTATATTGATGGCAACAATTTTATTTATCATAAAATACTGAGCTACGAGTTTGTTATAAACATTCATTTTGAAAGAATGTTACAAATCTTTCTTTCATTCTATTATCTTGCAGCATTTTCAATAGCAATTGGAACATTTATTTTCTTATTTCGAAATCTTAAGTTCTAGATTATGTCACTTTTGAAGGAATTTCGGTCCGAATGATTAAAGGGACTCCACCGTGGATTTTTGACATGACTGGATTGGAAATTATTTCCCGAGATTAATGTCCCATTTGATATGGGTCTAGACCAATAACTTGTGTGCAAAAGTTCAGATCAATTAGCTCTCTCCGTTTCCCCAGAAAAATTATTCTAATGGTGAAACGTTGCAACGCTTTGACTCAAATCGGGCTAAGAATTGCACAAAAAATAGAAATTTCAATTTATTACTGGGTATATTTCTTAGATGTCTTTTGCATTTATCTCTGTTTTAAGTGCCACGGCTTAATCAAGACATATAACAAATGCATATTTTGGCGGTATGCGTCGGACTACTAATTTAATGATCGCTATTCGTATGGGTACAAACCTCATCAGTGGCAATTCGTTGTTTCCTTGGGCAAGAAACTTTACACTTATTGCTCAGTACTGGTTTGCTTCAGGAACAGACTCGACAATGTGTCTATAAGCTAATAGCTTCCAACACAATCGAACTTAAATATATTCTGTATTAACCAATTCTAATTTTATGTTTATGCTTTGAGACCTCAGTGAAGTTCCTTTAAACCAAAATTGTTTTTACACTTTACTTTAAATTCGGTGGTGAACTTCTCTATTGTTCCAATATAGAAATGCTACAAATATTTGTCTTATCTGTAGAATCGTCAAAAGTTCAGTGTATTTTGAAATCTCCTTGTCCTTAACTTAGATTCTTAAAATTCCGTTAGATTGGCGTCAGCAAAATAAAATACCACAAATATTAAAAGAATTCAATGATGTCGAAATAACTCGGTTCATGAATTTTCAGGACATGGAGACAAACGTTTTTAGAACTTAACCTACTTTAATGACCACTTACAAAGTCAAGCAATGTATAATTCATGTAATCAAAACGACGTTATAGATTGTTTTCTTATGCATTCAGGCATATGTTATAGTATTAAAAAGCAATGACCGTAGATTTGGATAGTGGAATTACCTTATAGAAGGTGATATTTTAAATGCAACCCCCAGACCCATCCCCCCCCCCAAAAAAAAAAAAAAAATCACATCAAAGCATGAGTAGCAGTAACCCCGATGATAAATATCTTGTACAAACCTGTCATCTTTCAAACCGGAAATAAACGTTCATCATTTTATATGGAAAATCATTTCTATGGAAATTTTCAAAATACATATATGTACTTACTGAATATAGCGATCAGTGCGTACCTTGATCAGACGGCACGGCTATGCTAGGTGGTCTTGGACTGAACTGGTCGGGTGGGTATAAATCGGTTCTCGCCAGTAAGCTGAATATTAAGCAGTAGTATACGTATACGTTTGTGATGGGTGCAGCAATCTTTCACTGCTAAAATTGGTGAAAAACTTTGGACAGTCTTAAACAATCAAAATGCAAACACCATTAATTAAGAATCAAATAAAAAGCATTAATTTCAATACATACAGTGTAAAATATGCTTGTATACTAAAAATATACGACTTTAGCATGGATTTTAATTACATAAATCCGCGACTTTAGGCAATTAACTTTTAAGTCTGGAAAAGGGGGGATCCTTAGAAAATAATAAAAACAACAAAATTTTACTGTTTGAGTGGGCCTGTTCACATTATCATGCATCAATTTTGTGTATCGACGCTTAAAATGCAAGTTTTTGCCTTTTTTTTGTTTCAAAAGATAATTGGTATATAATATAAATGTATATTCTGTAATATATCTGGGGCGTCTTCCTAGAATACCGACACCAGATCTCATTCAATTCTTGGTATCAGATGTTTGAACTATTGTTTATGATAAAAGAAAAAGGTATTTGAACACCAGGCCTCTCACACCTAAGGCAGGATATCGAGCTTGTAAGTCTACTCGGCCTCTAGTTATGAATTTTTTACGGTCAGCATAATTTTGTATCGATTCTATTAAAAAACGATGCTAGTGAAAATAATATAATTAACATACAATAGTTATGTTTATTAATAATGAACACATATAATAATAATATCTTTATTTATATACTAAAAAAATCTTAAAAAATGTATTTTTATTCACAATATAGTGATGAAATTGCTAAAATTACGCCAACGACTAAAGACAGTGAGCCGTATGTAATATCTAGTGCGAACGGAAAGGAACGACACATATTATACGGTTTAAGCACGTGATATAACGGATTTATCATATGCTTGCAATAAAGCAGCAGTTACGTCCCTTGGTTGAAATTACGCCATTTACACCAAACTTTGGACTTGTTTAGAAATAGAAACGTGAAAAAACAAACGTATTACACGCGGTTGTTTGGTATTTTAATGCATTTTGCTTTTGTCATTTGTTTAACGCATTGATTGACTTTTGTAATGTTATACTGTTTTAGTGTAAACTTTAAATGTTATAATTGCACAATGAAAATAAAACATTAATGCCAATACACTGATGAGTGTTCTTTAAAACATTAAAAAATATAAATTCGTATAGGAGTGGAGGAATGGCAAAATCAAGTTTCCATATTGCCCATGCATAATTAATTTGGAATGAACGGGTGATTGGTTTTATAGGCGTCTTTTCTTACTGTCAGTGTCACCAAAATGAATATCACATGTCCAACATTATCTCGATGTCCCTTTGACAGGTCTAATTAGTTGGTCAGTTATTGCCCAGGTTGTCCCACAGCCTATATGGATTAGTAGTTCACTAATTTACTTATTAAGTTAAGAAATGTTTCAGATAAAAATGGGCTAATCACTGTAATCAGTCACTTTGTTGGCACTGCTGTTGAGTCTATTTTTTTTACCCTAAAACCTGCTGGAACCGAACTTAATTCTGTGCAGACTAACCTGCAATTTGAAAATTCAAAGCAGGGCAAACACCTAGTCTCAATATTTCAACTGCAAAACCGACAGATTTTATAATCTGTTATTTCATAGATGTCTGTGAAGGGTGACCATCGTCTATATAATAAAAAAACCCTAAACTAAAGCGCACAATTTGTTGGGCTAGGTAAACATCCATTACATGACCGCTTTGTTCTTTAACATTTTTGGAATATCAGAATTTAATATTTTTGTGTCTCAAAAAATTAGAGAATATATGGAAAACTTGCACTGTATTAATTTGTATCTATTGGTTAGAGTTCAATAGAAGCATTAATAAATTAAAATTGTTCAAGAACAGCATAGCTGTTAAACAAACAATATTTGAACAATAAATACTTTTATAAACAGTTAATAACTAAGCTGACAAATAGACTTAGCAGATTTACCAAAGTTATGTTTTATGATTCATTGTAAATATTTCAATCCTATTGCAAATTTTTTTTATCTGAACAAAGAGCAAATAAATATCATAACGTTGTCAACAAAATTTTGTTTAACATTTTCAGGTGTATCTAGACAGTGAAAGATGTTCAACACGGCTTTGTTTATCCTTACACAGCCTGTAAACCACATTAGAAAATGCCTTCCTCTTTACATGAAGGAAATTAACAAACTGGCATCAAAAACTGCATACATACACATTCAACCAGGAATTTTATTAAATACTGACCAAAACAATGAAAATGGCATCTTAAACTCAAAGACTTGCGATTCTCATTTTGAACTACTCAGAGTTCCATTTACGGATGAAATAAGAAATCTTGTGAAGGAATTTTATGTATCCAATGCCAACATTTGCAGTAACCTTGATGTCAGAGTACTGGTGGGACATATAGGAAGTTCAGAATTAAAATTCCAGAAATATAATTTTAAACACCCATGTGATGTTGTTTTGATTGACCTTAAACATGAGCAAGGTGTAAATAACTCAGTGTTGCTGCAATCGCTGAATAGGTCTTTTAATATCAGTGCATCTTGTAGTTGTCAAAGTTTGGATGTCGATGATAATGAAGGTACACCAAAACGACAAAAAACTGATGACTCAAATACTGAAGAGGTAAGATCTCTTATAATTATATATAATGGGAGAGGACACTCATAAGCTTTCTCATATAGTTTTCTGCCCAATCCCAAAATGTACTTAGTAAATATTGTCCACTTGTTAAATATGTTTTTAAATAAATAAACATGTTTAAACCAAATATTTAAATTATAAAAGAAATTCAGCTTCCTAGGTGACACATAAATAGCCTATTAGACTTAGTCTATCAAGAGATAGATCTCAAACAAGAACCAGGGTTAAAAAATTGCTGGTTTGAGTGGGGATTTCACAGTGACAATGATCTCAAACATTTTAAAGGGACTCCACTGAGGTTTTTTGACATGACAAAACTGGAAATAAAAAATTTTTTCGATTTTAATGCTCAGTTTGATGTAGGTCTAGATCAGTAACTTGTGTGCAAAATTTTAGATCATTGGTTATTACGATTTATCCAGGATTATTATTCATATTGTGAAAAATGACCAAAAATTGAAAAGCGTTTAAACACTTTTTACTCAAATCATATCAAAAATAGCACAAAAATACACTTTTCAATTAATTTTCTGAGTATATTTCTGAATTATTTTTTTGCATGCCTTCCTGTTTTACGTGCCCCAGCTGATCTGTGTAAAAAATTTTTAAGTTTTTCGGCTTTCGGACCTATGTGGAGTTCCTGTTTAATGGTCTTTTGTCTCTAAATGATAATTCAGAAATCGTGCTGGATTAGTACTCTGTCACTTGTGGAGAAATTGCTAATTACCGGTACTGGTTAGTTGACCAGGAAAGTTGTTAAGGTGACTCGCCTACCAGGGAATTACCAAAACTGTGCTGAAATTAGCGTAAAAATCACGCATGCAGCTAAATTAAGCTACATGAGAAGGAGAAGTAGCTTAATTTATTCTTCAAGACTTCAGGTTCAGCTTTTAAGCCCAGCGCATCCACGCAGTCTTATCAGGATCCATGCTGTTCGCTTACGAACCATATAGACAAGAATCTGATAGCGAACAGCATGGATCCTGATCAGACTGCGCGGATACGCAGGCTGGTCTTGATCCATGCTTGTTGCAAACCCATTATGTTGGTTTTGTCATGACACGGCTCATATATATATATAAAAACAAATTTACAAATTGTTTTTTATGATTATAACTTCTTGTATAATTATATCTACAGGTATGTTTGGTTAACATTTTTATTTCTCAAGTGAACTGTATCATTGATTTTATTTTTCAGAAACCAAGTGAGGAAGTTTTAAAGCAGTATCCTCATACCGTCTTAGGTGGAACATTCGATCGTCTTCATATTGGCCACAAGATTTTGTTAACAGAAGGTTGTTTATTGGGCACAGAAAAATTGACAGTGGGTGTTACGGATGGAAAAATGAACAATAGTAAGTATAAATGCACTTATTGTTACATAGCAAGGTTTTTCTGGCCTTTTCGATAACAGATATTGGGTCGTGTTCCCGATGCCAAAAAAAAAAAGATAATTTTTTCCCAATTTCAAGGAGAAAATTCCTAATCCAAGGAACAAAAAATAAAATTAGTAAAATTATTAAAATTTGGTACATGTAACTGCACTATATCATAGAAAATTGTAATTTTGCATTTAAAATTGTAATATGTGCTTATTAGTGAAATGTTAAAGGAATTTGGTTAATCTAATATTCGATTTCTTTGTCTTATTTGATGTAAACATACAATATGATGTCACTTTTCCCAGTTTTGTCTTAAAAATCGTAAAAATTCCCAATTCTTGGGATCAAGTCATGTTTCCAAAGTGCTGGAAAGAAAAACCCTGTGGCGGCATGGCAGTGATTTTCCTACTTATATAACAGACTCCGAAAAAAGGCCTCTTCCCAATTGAAATTTTCTTTAAAATCATGCAGTTTTCCCAAAAATCTGAACTTAAACCAGCTTTTTTACTTCCCAAATCAGCAATTTTAGCGATAATTTTTCCCAAAATCAAGAGGCTAAGGCCTCTTCCCAATTAAGTGAGAAAAATCACTGCATGGCTGAGTGGTTAACATGTCAGACTAGTAATCTAATGATTGCTAGCCTCATGGGTTCAAACCCCTTCAGGGGCAAGTTATTGTTTCCTTGAGCAAGAAACTTTACACACATTGCTCAGTACTGGTTGGTTCCAGGAACGGATTCAAAAGTGTGTCTATAAGCCTATAGCTTTCTACACAATCAAACTAAAACAAATTCTGTATTAACCAACCCCTTTGTCATCAATAAAGAAGAAGTTTTAACAAGACTTTCTTGCTCTATTGAATTGAAGCATGTTCTCATATTTATCAAAATTTGAGCGTAAATGATGTAATTTTGGGCATATTGTCTCCTTAAGGCAATAACGTAATAAGTTTTTGTAAATTCAATAAGAGTTAATCAGTTATTGCAAATAGGAGTTAATCAGTAATTGCCAATAGGAGTTGATCAGTTATTGCACTAAGGTGACAATATGAGAATGTGTAGAAAGTGAATGACCAGATTTGTTATATTTTTTCTACACAGTTTCAGTTCCAACCATTATTGTCTATTTAGAATATGATAAAAATAGCAATTTATAAGGGACAAGAAAAATGCCCCTTTCAAATGAATGTTTGAAAAATAAAAAGAAAAAAAAACATGAACATAACATGTTTGCTGTATTGAAACAAGGTCTCCAGTAATGACATGCCTTTTCCCCACGAGTTGAGTTAACAAACCCATTCCCAATATGCTTATTTTTTCCCAATCTTTAAGAAAAATTCACAATGTACATGTAGTGTAATGTGACCTCATTTGAATATTTTGATGACATTTTTTTTTTTCAAATGTAGAAAAAACACTATTAGAGCTGATACAACCTGTGGAAGAAAGAATTTCATCAGTGAAAGATTTCCTCAATGATGTGAAACCGTCCATGGTGTACAGTGTGGTCCCAATTACTGATGGGTTTGGCCCGACTGTTGTAGATCCTGACATGGACCTTATAGTATTGAGTCAGGAAACAAAGAAAGGTGGGGAGATGATAAATGAGGAGAGACAGAAAAAGGTATACAGCCTATAGTAAAATTTCTAAGCATCCATATAAGGAAATTTATCTTCCATTAAGAAAATAATTTCATGATGAACAAGTACCGCCTCCGTGGTCGACGGGTTCGATCCCCAGAGATGCTTTGGTAGTTTAGCGAGGAGGAAGGTAGTGAAGTACTGTTGTAACTCTCCAGGAACGATGGTTAGGAAACTACCCGCCTATTTGACTGAAATACTGTTGGAAAAAGGGGTAAAATGAAACAAACAAACAAACAAAACTGTTGGAAAAAGGCGTAAAATGAAACAAACAAACAAAATTATGATGAACAATATGAAGGACAGATTACTGCAATAAGCATGCATGCATGCCATTGATGCTAATATGGGAACCCTCAATATGAAAAGGAATTTGCATGCCATGTTAAATAAGAAATAAATTAAAGCCTTATGTCTCCAGTTGTTGTTTTAGGAAACCCCTCTTTAAAAAGAGGGTTTAACCCCTCGAAACATTGGAGATTGAAAAGTTTGTGTAGTAGATAATTATTAACTAACTGTTTCTAGCATGATTTCTCATTGTTATAAGCATGTTACATGCTCTAAAAACATTATAAAACTCATGAATGTCTGCCCTTACTAAAGAGAGAATAAGTTACTTGTTTCTGGTGCATAATGTGCCTTTAAAAAGTGATTATTTTGTTATGCAGGGAATGAAGTTATTAGAAAAGTGATTATTTTGTTATTCAGGGAATGAAGTTATTAGAAAAGTGATTATTTTGTTATTCAGGTAATGAAGTTATTAGAAAAGTGATTATTTTGTTATGCAGGGAATGAAATTATTAGAAAAGTGATTATTTTGTTATTCAGGGAATGAAGTTATGAGAAAAATGATTATTTTGTTATTCAGGGAATGAAATTATTAGAAAAGTACACGATAGATCTGGTAGAAGACTCGTGTCATACACAGTACGAGGAGAACAAGATCAGCTCATCGTCTTTCAGAAAAAGATTACTTGGCACATTGTTTAATCCTATAAAGGTAATGAAAAAACTTTAAAGGGACTACACTGGTTTTTTTTTTGACTTGACCTGACTAGAAATAATTTTTCAAGATAAATGTTTTACATTAGGTCTAGACTGTGTGCTAAATTTCAGATTATTTATTCACTCTTTTTTCCCAGAATACTGTATAAGTGGATATTTATGCGTCACAAAATATTGCGTATTCAAAAAGTGGATTTTTTGCGGGCAGAAATATTTGCGAAAATATGATTTCCTGAATTTGATACTGTTTTTGTGATATCATTAATTAAACTAAGGTACATGTTAAGAATTTGCCTTCATTGTAATTGTTATATTCAGTTGTTTGATGCCTTTATTATCTATATAATTGTTTGAAATATACAGTTACTTTTTGTTAGACATTCAAATTTTATAGACCTCAGTGGAGTTCCTTTAATTTTGTGATGCCAAAATTTCGAAAAAAAACTTTTCTCTAATTTTAACTTTTTCCTTCCTAATTTGCATATTTTTGAAGTCTTGAAGACCTAAATCCTTTAATCATACTAGACCTATTTTTGTAAAAACTAAAATTTTGTATGAACATTTACATGTATTGAATAAAAAATTTTGCACTGAATTCCCTCCAGGACACCATACTTTGTAATTCATACTTCATACATGTAACTTAAAGAAGGTCCCTCCTGTACACCATACTTTAAAATTCATACTTCATACATGTACTTTAGAGAAGGTCCCTCTAGTATACTATTCTTAATAATTCGTACTTCATACATGTAACTTAGAGAAGGTCCCTCTAGTACATGTAGTATACCATTCTTAATTATTCGTACTTCATACATGTAACTTAAAGAAAGTCCCTCTAGTATACCATTCTTAATAATTCATACTTCATACATGTTACTTAAAGAAGGTCCCTCCTGTACACCATACTTTGTAATTCATACTTCATACATGTCAATTAAAGAACGTCCCTCCTGTACACCATACTTTGTAATTCATACTTCATACATGTTACTTAAAGAAGGTCCCTCCTGTACACCATACTTTGTAATTCATACTTCATATGTCACTTAAAGAAGGTCCCTCCTGTACACCATACTTAGAAATTCATACTTCATACATGTAAATTAGAGAAGATCCCTTAGGTTATCATTCTTAATAATTCTTACTTCATACATGTAACGTAAAGAAGGTCCCTCCAGTACACCATACTTAATAATTCATACTTATAGAAAGTCCCTCTTTAACATTATGCATGAAAAAAAGGTGATTTTCTATTCAATGCACATTAAGTACGTAAATGTATTTTGTTTTTAAAATAAAGAAGGTCTTCCATGTACACCATACATTACACTGCACCTTAAGTTTGTAAATATATTATACTTTTAGAGTCAAGAAGGTGTTCCATGTACACCATACATAACACTGCACCTTTAGTAAAAAAATGTATTTTACTTTTAGGTTAAAGATGGTCTTCCAGGTACACCATACATTATTGGTTTGACTGGTGGAATAGCTAGCGGAAAGTCTTCAGTGTGTAAGAGATTGGAAGGCAAAGGGGCCAAGATTATTGATTGTGATAAATTAGGTATGTTTGTTTGATTGGGTTTTTTGTCACACCAACACAGTAATAGGTCATATGGCAAGGTTCCAGCTTTACTGGTGGACAAAGACCTTCTGTGCATTATTTCAGGCACCCAAATAGGTTACCACCGATGTTCTGTAAGCTAGCTTGATAGCCTCCTAAAAAGTTAGGTATATAACTTCCAGAATAATGAGAAGTTGTAAAGATTTAAAAAAAAAGATTTATTAAATACATTCTGTCAAATTTTAAAGGCACATTCATTCTCAAGAATGCTAAAAAATTTCATTTATCAAAACCTTAATTTTTGGCGTCCTGTTTATAGTTTCCAAAATAGATACCCATTGATCATAAAGCTAAGCCATCTTTTGCTTCTTTTGTGTTTTGGTCATTAGAACAGATTTAGTTATTTTAGTATTTTGCATAAAAGTCAAAATACCACTTTGTTTTCATTCTGTACTTTAATCTGATAAATTGTTTCACATTCAGCACTACTTTCTCTAAGTGATAAGTATCTCACATGTTATTTATCATTGAAAGCAATGTTCAGAAACACATAATTAATAATAATTTATAGAATGAAAACTTTATTCATTTCTGAGAAATAGTGTGCTTTTAAGTTAATGTCAAATGCTTTAGAAGTGTTGATTATTTATGCCCTAATTTTTTAAGAATAGTTTGAATTATAAACTTACATGCTTTGTACCATTAAATCACATTTTCCCTTAACCCATTACTTTATATAGATGTTTTTTTTCATGCCTCCTCCCCCTTTTGAGGCCTCAAATAGTGAAAAAAATGCCTTATTTAGACACCCAACATTTGTTTTCGTTTGAGAAATTGTGTAAAAAAAGTGATCACTTTTTGGCGCCATCTCCTATCAAATAGATACATCAAGGATGTGCCCCTTCTGTTTGGGGTTTGAAAGGTGTCTGCCGATCCCCTTGTCTCCAAGAAATTGGACTTGTGAGAGGCTAAACATATCTTCAGGTCGATCGTAAGGTAACGTGTAAACAAATGCTGAAAAGCCTTTGACTCAATCTCAATCTGTTGAGAAGTTGCAGCATTTTGAAATCAAATTTGATGGAAAAATCAATGCAAAATAGTGATTTTTGGCAATTTTGAGATGTCCCCTCGTTGCCATGGTAACAGGAAATATAAGATTGAGTATGTGGTGACGTGTGGTTTCATAGCAATTTGAACTTGTAACAGGAGGCTTTTCAATGAAAACTGCCATTTATGGATTAAAGCTGCATGCCTCCAGCTGAGCCAAAGTATTTCAATAAAGATCAAATTTGAGAAAAATGTACTAAGATTTCAAGGAATGTAAACAGATTTAAGATTCAAGAAATAATTTACATGTTATGTGCCATTAATGACTGGTTTTGTAGTGTTTATCACCATATTTCTACTGCGTTACTAATGTATGTATGCTTATTTTGACCTCTTTTTAGTAACTTAAACAGATTGCAAGTGCTGTTTGCAATGTGTAAATTATTTTCTTTGTTCACTCTAAAATATCAGCTTTTATTACTTTTATAGTTTAGTCCTGAAAATGGGATACAGTATTTTTTCTGTTAATGCTCTCTGACTCTGCATTTACAGGCTTAAACCAGACAGTAAAACTTTAAATGTTTTTAAAAATAATATCAATTTAGTACTTAAGCCAGTGTTTGTAGTGCTACATTATTTTTTGATATTCTAATGATTTCTTAGAATAAAAGTGTTTTTATTTTTTTTATTTTTAAGCTGACAAGATAGCAGTCTGATTGGGAGCAATTTGAATTGTGCGTGACGTAGTATCCTACCATTTAATAATTGATTTTAGCAATCAACTGCTACGGATCGTCCATGGCTGTTAAATCTGTAAACTGTTGTTATATCTGTATTTTTCAGGCCATAGAGCCTATGTAAAAGGTACTCCAGGTTTTGAGAAAGTGGTTGCAGCATTTGGTGACCAGGTTATAGGTGAAGATGGAGAGGTGAACAGAAAGGAACTCGGAAAAATTGTGTTCGGAAAAAAGGTTTATATTGTTTCTTGTATGACTGTATATATCAAATAATATGAAGATTAATGTTTAAGATGTACATGTATAATGTTATATCATTTTCTACTGCAAGAATTATTGTTTGAATTTTAAAAAAAGAATACTTCCAAAATTCTTGTATGAAAGAAATATGGAAGATAATTGCCTTAAAAGCAAATGTCACATACTCAAAATCATTGCAAAACGGATAAAAACCATGCTTAAAAAGTAAAAAGCAAAATTATAGTTTATTCCTGTTTATGTACAATATTTATGTGTATTAAAGAACAGAGATATTTTCATAATTGTATGTTACAACTCTTTCGAGAATAATAACCATAATATTTTGCTGTCAACAATTTTTATTGTAATTTATTCTTTAGAAATATTTTATAAGATATAGGTTTATACGTCTTATAGTTTTATACCCTTTAAAGGTAGTGAAATTTCTTTGGGTTGAAAATTACTACAACTATGGTTGTTGAACTGCCTGTCTGATAATCTTAACGTTTGCCAGTAAGGCTGCATTGATTGAATAATTAAAGTATGTATCAATAGATTGATATATTCATATATTGTGTGAGATTTGGTGGTGATGGTGGTATTGGTAGTTTTCACTCTGGTTTTAATTTAATGTAAATATATAATGCATTTGCCTTGATATGAATTGCATCAAAATAACATTGTGTCATAGTTTGTAGACTTTACACTTGAAAGTGTGTCAAAAAGTCATATACCAAAACATGCACAGTGCGTTAAGTGGAGGTGCAGGTATTAGTTTCTCGCATTCACTTTCTGGCCAGAGCATGCTCTTTGATTGGATAATTTTTTCTAGGGTTAACTGATTGTGACTGCAGGAAAAGAGATAAAGATAGAAAAGTCATATTCAGATGCTCATACTTTTTCCTGGGGTTTGATTATGTGACTAAGGGGATGTGTTTTTAGCTCACCTGTCACAAAGTGACAGGGTGAGCTTTTGTGATTGCTTTTCGTCCGGCGTCCGTCTGTCGTCCGTCTGTCCGTCCGTAAACTTTTACTTTAAATGACATCTCCTCATAAACCACTAAGCCAATTTCATCCAAACTTCACAGGAATGTTCCTTTGGTGGTCACCTTTAAAAATTGTTCAAAGAATTTAATTCCATGCAGAACTCTGGTTGCCATGGCAACCAAAAGAAAAAAACTTTAATTATCTTCTTTTAAAAAACCGAAAGAGCTAGAGCTTAGATATTTGGCATGAAACATCTTCTAGTGAGTGTCTACCAAGTTTGTTCAAATAAAAGCCCTGGGGTCAAAATTGGCCCCGCCCCAGGGGGTCATTGATTTTCCCTATATGCATATAGTTAAAACTTAAAAATCTTCTTTTAAAGAACCAAAAGAGCTAGAGCTAAGATATTTAGCATGAAACATCTTCTAATGAGTGTCTACCAAGTTTGTTCAAATAAAAGCCCTGGGGTCAAAATTGGCCCCGCCCCAGGGGGTCATTGATTTTCCTTATATATGTGTATAGCAAAAACTTAAAAAGTATTCTTTGAAAAAACCTAAATAGCTAGAGTTAAGATATTAAGCATGAAACATCTTCTAGTGAGTGTCTACAAAGTTTGTTCAAATAAAAGCCCTGGGGTCAAAATTGGCCCTGCCCTGGGGGTCATTGATTTTCCTTATATGTGTATAGGAAAAACTTAAAAAACATCTTTGAAAAAAACCCAAATAGCTAGAGTTTAGATATTAAGGATGAAAAATGTTCTAATGGGTTTCTACCAAGTTTGTTCAAATAAAAGCCCTGGGGTCAAAATTGGCCCTGCCCCGGGGGTCATTGATTTTCCCTATATGTATATAGTAAAAACTTAAAAAATCTTCTTTTAAAAAACCCAATGAGCTTCAGCTTAGATGTTTAGCATGAAACATCTTCTTATGGGTGTCTACCAAGTTTATTCAAATAAAAGCCCTTGGGTTAAAATTGGCCCTGCCAGGGGTAGGGGAGGGCAGATCATTGTTTTTCATTATAAGTGTGTACATCATGAAACATCTTCTTATAGGTGTCTTCCAAGTTTGATCAAATAAAAGCCCTGGGGTTTAAACTGGCCCCGCTCCAAGGGCCTACATACAGGTGAGCGACCTTAGGGTCATCATGGCCCTCTTGTTATTTTTGCTTATGATACAAAAGAGAATACGCTCCCTGACGTACAAATCAGATAGCCTCGTGTTTTTATTACTTGATATGATTTTTATGTATATTTAAACAGTCAGAACTTGAACGACTCAATGGAATAGTGTGGCCAGAAATCGCCGAGCTGGTGCAGAAACAAATACAGGATTACGCAAAAGGTGAATATCTCTTTATCACGCGCCTCCATAAAAAAACATATTGCACAGTCGTGCATATATCTTGGCATGAAGTCATTTGCTTCATAGAATCTTTGCTTGAAGTGGCACTAAATTTTAGAGTTACAATATAAAATTATATGCGCATCAATGGAAAATGCAGATCTTTTTCACTGTAATTGTTTATGTGATAAATAGAATATTACATTTGTGTAGATTCAATACTAAATTTATTGAATTTGAGTTGAATAAGATAATATTATGCCTTCCAGAGGCGTGCATAATATGATTTTATTTAACTCGTTCAATAAAATGGTTAAACCTAATCTGTTTCAACATCCTCTATGTATCATTATTTTAAGTTCAAGCAGGGTAAAGAATTGAAGGGGAAAAAAAAGATGTTTTCACTGTTATTTTTCAACTTAATTTAGATAAAGGGAGGTAATCCAATATCATTTTTTATCATGTCATTACATTAATTTCTGTTGATAAAGTACATGCCTGATAAATTTAGCTTAATCAGTCACCCTCAGCTTTATAAAACACCTCATCAATACATATTGAAATAGAATGAAGAGAATGGAATATTTTTAATTCTTTCTAGTCATAGTTTGAAAATATATAACTGATAAACTTTGAATCAAATACATTGTATGCTTTACATTTGACTAAAAATATTTGGGACTATTTCTTAAGATATGACCCTTGGATTTAATCTTTATCCTAAGCGATTATTACCTATCTGATTCTGGTCATATATCCTTATAGCACTTACAGCAGTGATACTATAACCTTACATACTTGGCCATATAACCTGTTTAAAAGTTTTCATAACTAATATTTACGGTTACACGAGTACCTGCTAGATACATGTAGTTATGGTTTTGAAAACTTTGTGGGAAGTACTGCAAAATAATAGGTAATTGATAAATCGCAACTTTTCGAATTCCAAGATAACGATTTCATACATGTGAACTCTCCCTATTTAAGAGGGAGACTCACCTTTTCTCATGTCATATTTCTAAATATTTTTCTAGAATAAGGGGTGTTTTCAAAAAAAAAAGAAGAAATATTCCTATTTTTCAGTTCAAAATTTTCTTTTATGTCTATTGTCAATTACAAAATCTCACTCTTTTTAAAGTAAATTCTCCCTCTTGAACATTGAAAAAAGTTCACATGTATGCGATAAAAGGAATCTGATTGTAGACTGGTCTCCTGCCTACTTCTATGGGAACCATAATGGGACAGGAAACCAGAATAAATGGAAGCAGTGTATTAAATACCGAATGACACTTTTAAAACTGAAAATGATCATAAAACATGAAATGGCTGTAGTAGTTGTGTAGTTGTTCAGCCAAAAGTATATTGAAAACATAAAATGTGTAGCGGCCAATGTGTTTAAAATATAATGTTCTATTATTTCTGTAGAGCTTGCTTTGAGGCTTTGCCTTATTCATATTAATCTAGAGGGTTTGTTTTTATTTCAACAGATGAGCAAACTGTTATAGTGTTAGATGCAGCAGTGCTGTTAGAGGCTGGTTGGGATGAAATGTGTCATGAGGTCTGGACAACCATTGTTCCACAAGATGAGGTCAGAAATGTCTTTCTTTTATATTTAATATTTGAACTGTTTTGTGCCCAGTGCAACAGCTTGTAACAGATTCTCTTAAATTTTCTTAAAGATTTCAGACCCTAATTGGCATTTATTTGAATTTTAGCTTTATACACGCCTCCAGATTAATCCTTATTTTCATGAAAATTTTGAAAATGTAAAATTAAAAGTATAATGTTGTATTATAACTAAAAGGAAGCAATTCATACATTCTCAATGGCACTTACAACCCACGATTGTTACAAAATGTGGTCAGAATAGTGGTCAATTGTCCTTACTGCATTTAAGTAATGCAGTAGAAATAGTTTTATTTAATAAAAATTTAACCATTGATCGGTCATAACATGTAATTATTACTTGAATCTTTCCACTTTTCCTAAAATCTGGGTACATTTGTCTCAAGTTTGATTTTATTGAACTATTTTGGCTCATCCTGAGGCATGCTGGAATGGTTAAAAAATGATCGCATGTTTGCTGCAACACAGTTACTGATATATTTTAGGGTTTATTGTAGTGATGACTAGGTTGCAAATTTCTCTGTCAGTAGTTTGGTGCATCGCTGTGTTGAATGAGACTAAAAAAAGTGTTGAAGCACCACACTAAATACCATATTCCGGTATATACCAGACAGGACACTTGAATGATTAAAATTCTAAAATCTTGCCTTGTTACCCAACAGAATGAACTTTAAAAGGTTTCATTTATCTTTTCACACTGATTTATGTATGATAATGAATGAAAAAAGTAACAATCGGGGAAAAATCTGTTTTGTGATCATGATTTCTGCAAGCGTCTAGCGTTACTGCTCCAGTCCTGTAATGAGTTAAATCCCACTGTGTTACTTATTTAAGAAATAATATATCCCAAACAGTGATTTTGCAGCTCAATAACACCACTGTTTGGAATTCAGATGGGAGGAATTATATCACGAGGGCGTAGCCCGATTGATATAATGATGCACATCTGAACGACAAACAGTGATGTTATCAAGCAATAAAATCACTGATTTGGATATATTATTTCGATTCTAACACGACATCAACAAATAAATGCTGCTGTACCTGATATTAAGCAAAGTTGAGCCGGAATTGTTTCTAGCGCAGTACTCATTTTCAGTAATCAGATTTTTTAGTGGTTACATCATGTGTATAATGTTATGTCACATGTCTAAATATAGAACATCAAACTGTGATTATATTGCATAATAACACACACTTTCGGTTCTTCTATATTCAAAAGGGAAAAATGCAGGTCGTGTTAAAATTAACTATAACCAATTTTATTTTTCAGGCTGTAAAAAGAATGATAGAAAGAAATAATCTAACCGAAGAGCAGGCACAACAAAGACTGAACGCGCAGATATCTAACATAGAACGTGTAGAGATGTCTAACGTTATATTGTGTACATTGTGGGAATATGAATATACCCAACAACAGGTTAGCCCATTGTTTACGACATGTACTAATTACATTATTGATAAACAAATCCAAATGAATGGTTTATTACTCAATTAGAATATGATTACAGTGTTATTTTAGAGGTAATGTGCAAACCAGTCTGTGTTAAATAGTGGATATCGAATGAGTAAAGGTTAAACACTGAATTTATCGGACAAGTTATATAAAATTATCTGGCGAGCATACTATCATTTTATTCAACAAATTAATTTAGCATTGAACTTACCCAATATAATATTCTATATATCACATATCTAAAATAAAGACTTTTTAAAGAGCAAAAGAATCATTTTTCATTGACAGGCTTATAGTGTGACACTAACATTTAGCGTGTCTTTACACTATGTTTATATAGCATTAATGCTTCACATCAAAATATATGTACTGCTGTGCAATACCATATTTATGAGATCACAAAATCAGCACAGGTGTGTGATTAAGGCTATTACAACATAAAGATTTTATAACATTTTATGAGTCCACAAAAACATGGGAAACAGAGAAATTGATGATAACTGGTTAGTTGTCAGGTGATATTTTAGTTTAGAAGTTTTCTTATATATGATTAATTACATGAATGTTTTTTTTTAAATTTCTTTCAGGTTGAAAGGGCCTGGGAGCTTTTGCTGCAAAGAATTCCAAACACTACAACTAAAGCCAATCCAAAGTCTAATATGTAACAAAAAGAAACCCAATAGACTGAAAACAACTCATTTTTTCGCAGTTGCTCAAATAAATTATTAAATATCTTACACAGATAGCTAGTATAAACTGGCTTAAGCCAGTATAGAATAGAATATCTGGCTTAAGCCAGTATAGACTTAAATATCTGGCTTAAGTCAGTATTGTAAAGCTAGTATAGACTGCAATATCTTGCTTATGCCAGTATAAAATACTGAAATATCTGGCTTAAGTCAGTATAGACTGGGACATCTGGCTTAAGAGTAACTGTTGAAGCTGGATAAAAGGTTCTACCAGTTAGTGATTTCTTACATTTTTTTTAAAGAATTTTGCTCAGGCTGCCAGACTGGAATACCTGACTCATATATAACTGTTTAATGGCAGTGATGAAACCTGTATGGTTTACATTTCCACAAATGATTTTCTAAGAATTTTACACTGGTTTCCAAACCAGATTAACTGGCTCAAAGGTAATGTGGTTTAGAGGCTTTCTTGATAAACTGTGCATTGCTGTACTACAACACATGGACAATTACTATCTATTCTTACAAGTTATAATAAAGGAAAATTGAAGATATGTAAAACTGCATTGAATGGAAAAGTAATATTTTTATGATTACTTTGTTTTATAGAACTTTACTCTCTTTCACTTTTTCTTTAGCAACCATGCATTTCATTATAGCCATTGGCCATGTTCCTTTAATTGGTCCTGCATGGGGGTTGGGGTTGGTTGGGCATTTTCTGTTTTGTGGTCTTTAAAGTTGTCTTCTGTAAGAAAGTGTTACACACACTACAATTTTTGAGAAATACATATTTTAATACTTGTTGTTACATGAAAATTTTGTTAATTTCTTTGATTATAAAATTATATTTAATCTATTTAATTATATGTAATATATTTTGTGTATATGTGCTTGTATGAAAACTGTTTTCAGACTTTTAAATAAGCAACGTATATCTTATGTAAACAGAGGAAAATAAATATTTATATAATCTGTCATATCTTAGTTTTCCAGCCGTAAAGGTTAAGGTGGCATTGAAACCTTGGTTTAGTTTGTAAAGTACGATTATCAGAAGGTCAAAGGTCACGAGAGTTCTTTTTAAAGACCATTTTTAGCATTGCTTTTTCTAAGAAAAAATTTCTTGCTAGTGCTACAGTCAGATTGTGGTTGCTGTTGCAATCATAAATAACATTGACCTTTAAGGTTTTGCTCTATTTTTGCAGTACATGCAGTTGGTTATAACTTTATTATCTTATGATTTTTTTTTTTCTTACTTGGAACCAACAAACTGTTGAACGAGACCTTTTAGTAGACCAAATTGATTATGACCTTCACTTGTCATTGAACTTGACCTTGAAGGTCAATTGATTGAATTTTGCTTGATTACTATATATAATTATATATGTTATCTATGAATGGATTGTCTTCAAACTTAAGCACAACAATTGTAAGGGCAAAGTCTTATCGAAGATGATTTGACCTTGACTCAGTCTCATAAAGTACATTTAAGGTCATACATGTATTAATGTATTTTCACAGTCTATATGGATTGTCTTCATACTTTGGTACAATACTCCTTGGGACAAGACATAAAAGAAGATTTAATTGAACTTCACCTTAATTTGACCTTCACACTTGATACTTTAAAATCTACACACTATATCACAAATAATCAACAGATGAAATCCTTTAATGATAAATATACGATATTACGAAATCCTTTTATGATAAATATACCATATTACGATACCCTTTAATGATAAATACACTGTATATACGCTATTACGAAATCCTTTAATGATAAATATACGATATTACGATATCCTTTAATGATAAATATACGATATTACGAAATCCTTTAATGATAAATACACTGTATATACGCTATTACGAAATCCTTTAATGATAAATATACGATATTACGAAATCCTTTAATGATAAATATATGATATTACGATATCCTTTAATGATAAATATACGATATTACGATATCCTTTAATGATAAATACACTGTATATACGCTATTACGAAATCCTTTAATGATAAATATACGATATTACGAAATCCTTTAATGATAAATATACGATATTACGAAATCCTTTAATGATAAATATACGATATTACGATATCCTTTAATGATAAATATACGATATTACGATATCCTTTAATGATAAATATACGATATTACGATATCCTTTAATGATAAAGATACGATATAACGAAATCCTTTAATGATAAATATACGATATTACGAAATCCTTTAATGATAAATATACGATATAACGATATCCTTTAATGATAAATATACGATATTACGATATCCTTTAATGATAAATATACGATATTACGAAATCCTTTAATGATAAATATACGATATTACGATATCCTTTAATGATAAATATACGATATTACGAAATCCTTTAATGATAAATATACGATATTACGAAATCCTTTAATGATAAATATACGATATTACGATATTCTGTAATGATAAATATACGATATTACGATATCCTTTAATGATAAATACACTGTATATACGCTATTACGAAATCCTTTAATGATAAATATACGATATTACGAAATCCTTTAATGATAAATATACGATATTACGAAATCCTTTAATGATAAATATACGATATAACTAAATCCTTTAATGATAAATATACGGTATTACGATATCCTTTAATGATAAATATACGATATTACGATATCCTTTAATGATAAATATAACGATATCCTTTAATGATAAATATACGATATTACGATATCCTTTAATGATAAATATACGATATTACAAAATCCTTTAATGATAAATATACGATATTACGATATCTTTTAATGATAAATATACGATATTACGATATCCTTTAATGATAAATATACGATATTACGAAATCCTTTAATGATAAATATACGATATTACGATATCCTTTAATGATAAATATACGATATTACGAAATCCTTTAATGATAAATATACGATATTACGATATCCTTTTATGATAAATATACAATATTACGATATCCTTAATTTAATGATGAATATACGATATTACGAAATCTTTTAATGATAAATATATACGATATTACGAAATCCCTTTATGATAAATATATATATTACGATATCCTTTTATGAAAATATACGATATTACGAATTCGAATACACGATTTATGCATGATTGAAGCGATGATATGAATTATCAATTTTATGCGTAGAAACCTATTTATTCGATGCATCGGGGCAGAAAGATAGGAAACTACTCGAGTTAATAGTTAATTGCATTTTGATATCATAACATGCAAGTAATGCTTTTCAAAATAAAGTAAAATCTAGATTGAACTTTTACATTAGTAAACTTTAAAATATTTATTATCTGTATAATCATTAAAGCGAAAATAAAACATCTGTTTTGTTGATAGTGTTCATAATAAAGTAAAGTTAAATAATAAATGACAGTTCAATATGCGAATGTAATGAACCGTGGTGTAATAATGAGATTTTTATTATACCAATTTAACCATTTGGTTCCAAAGATAATGCATAATAGAAATAAATGTATTTTGAAATCCAACCGACTTTTAAATGTTTGTTCAATTTGTTCAGGGTCCCCACCTCAATCAGTATCCTAATAGATAAAAAGACCACAAGGACAACGACAGAAAGGACAATGACAATCATCAGAACTTCTTGGTATTTATATGGATAATATCAATAAAAATCAACCATTTTATACCTTATACTGAAGTTTTTGTCTATATAAACGAACGTTCCGATATCATTTTCCCCAATATTTTCATAAGAACTTAATTTGTAGTTGTAGATTTTCGGATTCTTTTTTTTTAGATTCACTCAATTATCATGGAATAATATTAATAGTACTGAGACTTAGACTAAAACGTTGAGTATCTCGTGCGTCACATTGGAAAATAAATAAAAATGTTGATCCATCTGTTTATCGTCTGTTACAATGATGGTGTCTTCAGACAATTAAATGGATGACCAAAATTTCAAACAGCAAGTGCAATACCTCCAGCAAAAGTTCATTGTTTACTAAAAGAAAACTGATCTTCTATTCTAAAATGTCCGTAAATTTAAATACAGTATTTCAGAAATCCGGTCGCTGGGTAGGTTACAGCACCACGAGAGTAGAAACGTTAAAACTGTCTTAGTGCATAAAATGGAAAAGTAAAATCAACATGGGAAGGCAACGCATCCCTTATTCTACCGCACAGAGCACCCGTAGCGGAATCAAGTAACGGGGCAGACAGTTGGAGTGGAAACAGTATTAATTTTGTCCAATGTAACGAGAAAATACCCAAAGGTTACTGGTAACATACTTCTTGAATTTAATTTTTTTTTCATTGTGTTATCGTTAGTTTTCCATGCAGATCAGATTAATAAACAAAGCTATTAAAAAAAAATAACAAAGCCTTCGTGTGAGAACCTTAATAAACAAAGACTTTTTTTAAAAAACCTTATTTAACAAAGCCTTTTTTGGGTGAAATCTAAATAAACACATTTTTTTTTATTAAAAAGAAAACCCCTTATTAAACAGAAACTTGAGTACCCTTGAACAAAGCTGTTGTTTATTCTCAATATATTATTTATACACAGAGGAATTCAACACCCAATATGGAACCGAAGTTAAAGTTGTGAATGAAAAGTGACCTTAGCACTTCACTAAGCCAAAAATTAATAAATATATCAATTATTAATTAATTAATCAAGGCGCACATCTTAGTAGTAGATACTAGAAGTTATGCAAGCTTTAAAATGACTTTCCCTGCTGTTAATTCTCAACATTGGGCAAGGACTAAAGTATTGATAAAAAAAACAAGAAAAAATAAACATGTATTGCTTAAAGCACAGGAATCATATTGTTATATAAAACAGAGATACGCACATACCTCCATTTTCTTTCATGTATTTTATACGTATTTTAAGGCAATAAAATATGCTTAAACTATTTGTTTTTGTTCTGTTGTATTTTTGTTTTGTTTATTTACTTCTTGATTTTCCAGCTCGGTGTGATACGCGTTGATAGAATTTCACAATTATGGTATATTTTCCCGCGCAAATGGCACCAAAGAAGAAATCCGAGCCTTGTTTAGAAGGAGTTTTTTTTTAAAACACAATTGCCAACAAGCATTAGCCAGCATTTTCTGAAATATATCAGGCAATCAACAACCAAAGCAAAGCTCTTTTTCAAAACAAATGAACTGTTACTTTCATTACATATGAATAATTAAAATATGTATCCTACAAGTGAAAAGATAAAAACCAACCCATTTACCATAACCAGTTAACAACGTGATTTACATAAATTTCCAATAATCTACAATTGAACAACTGTCATCATTGTTCTATAATAGTTAATTATTTATGAATCAGCTTTTAGTAAAACTAGCTGCCTGATTTAGGAATCACTTTTCTGATAAATACCGTAGTATCCCGAATGAGTGTCCGAGAAAGGAAAAAAAGCGAAGCATCTCGATTGACGTATATTATATTCACACAATGTATTCAGACAAACAATAAATTTAGATACAGTTACATGTTAATGATATACTCATTTACTTTTTTACAATTTTTTAATTATTTGTATTAACAGTACAATTTTTTATTATTATTTGTATTAACAGACAAACAAAACGCTGTTTATTAAGGCAAGGCACAGGACAATAACTGTATGTAGCAAGCTGAACGTAAGTCACTGGTGCGGAGTCGGGGAAAATTTGTATAGCCTTTACCCAGCTGAACCCGGAAATGACGAGCAAGGACATCCTTGTGCATCCACGCATCCTGTCTAAGCTCGGTACTTTTGGCTGACCAACTTCAAATTTCCATCTTTATATCCCAAAAAATGTACAGTTTCGAAAATTGAACCTGGGCAAGTCCATTTAAGAAATTTAGCAGGTGAAGGGTACACATGTACTTGTAATCATTCGTGCCTACCAAATCTACATATCTCGCACTGGCGCACTTATTAGATAAATTACTGTACGTTAATGCAATCAGTTGAAACGTAATAGGCCTTTTGTGAAACGTTCACGGTTAATATTGTTAAATTCCTGATAAAAGTACAGCGCTCATTTAAATCTGTGACTATCAAAACTCGTGCATAATATTACAAAAGAATTAATGCATGGCTTTCCAACAAATAAACTATTTATTAGGAATTCACTTATTTCAAAACACACCGTAAAATATGGAAAATTTGACAACAATTAATTTATTTGCAAAATACAATGTACGAAGAACAGGTACTTGATCTAGTGCTTACGTAACATCATAAAAATGGCGGCTGAGAAAATAAATATTGCTTTCATCAACACATCAAGAACCATCTTGGAAACAAATTATGATTATAAAAAGGAAAGCAAGTCCGATGAAATGAAATGAAATAATATGATAGAAACGAAAAGAAATTGAAAATGAAATTAAATGAGATAGTCATCTTATAAATAAATAAATAAATAAATAAATAAATAAATAAATTAATTAATTAATTAATTAATTAATTAATTATTTTTTAAGAAGAAGAAAATGAAGAAGATGATGATGAAAAAGAAGAAGATGATGATGATTATGATGAAGAAGAAGAAATTTTATTGCAATGAATTTCAACAGAGGATCCGCTAGCTTTACATCAAGCATGCGATCATTTTGACATACATTGTAAGATTTCAAGATTTTAATGTATTTATGTGCAAATATATTAATTGGGGGAAATTGCTGGATCCGGGATAATACCAAAAATAAAAACTAATTAACTCTTCATACTGTAAAATATTTGTCGTAATTTAGGGCGATGAAAAGTTGAAATATTTAGTTTTATTTTATACATGTACTTACAAATAAAATATTAAGAAATACTAATGAAATAAAAACGTATTTTCTTTTTCCGTATTTTCACTGTAAATATTAATTTTTCACAGCAGTGAAACATATTTTTTTCGTATTTTCGCTGGTGTCTTGCCGGACTTCTTTCTTCTTAATTAAGTTAAAGGAGAAATCTTAAAAGAATTGTAAGGTCAAGAAAAAGAAAAAAGTATATAAATAGAAAATTCAAATATTTTTCTGTAGATACAGGATTTATTTTATCTTGTGGTATGAAATTTATAATATCATTCGATGAAAATAAATCCTGTATTTATAGAAACAATTTGAATATCCTCTATAAAAGTATATCGTATGTAGGACAATTATATTGATTGAAACTTAAGATTGAAAATACATGAACTTGAAATGCGGAAATCAAAATACTTATAAAGGATTTATGCCTTAAAATCAAATGTTACTTATATGTATATTTTATTCTTCTTTCTTTCTTTCTTTCTTTCTTTCTTTCTTTCTTTCTTTCTTTCTTTCTTTCTTTCTTTCTTTCTTTGACTTTATAGTGGTCAGAGTCGTATCCTTTGTAATCAGGTAACAAATTAGGTATATATAGGCGGGTAACAAAACTATTTTATATTTTTCAAGTTTTTAGATATTTCAATTCGTAGAAAATTTAACCCTCGCGAATCACCATACCTTCAGCTTTACAGTACATCGACGGCAGAACTTTAAGCACCCTGTCCCCCAGTGTAGGAAACAATCTGTTGGTGATAGTAGGAGTTTTGACTTACTTCAAAATATCGATAACTTGTACATTCTGAAAAGGTAAGACTCATTAATTTTGTTTTATTTCATATTTTCAGTGAATTAAGCTCTATATCTGCTATAAATTCTATTGTTTGATTATTTTTTTTTAAAAGAATACTTTCAAAATGTTTTTGTGAAATAAATATGTTAGTATATTTCTGTAAAAGCGGATGGCACAAATACGAAATCATTGTTATCTAATTAATTGAATATCGCAATATCGATATATCATCGATATTCATCATTTGATACAATATCGATACAAATTTTCAAAATATCGATACAAGCTAAAATTTATTTATTTCTGTTAGTGAATATACCTCTCTATTTTGCCTAATTAGAGAAGTCACTTTTTTCCAGTTTTCTTGGCTTATTTGAACTTTGAACTCTGTTTACAAATGTCAGTGAAAATAACAGAAAAAAACAAACTTTATATAGTAGTTTGTAGTTTTTGTAATCTCCAATACAAGCATGTATAACACCATGATCCCAAATTATAACTCATATTAATATGTTTTTCATTGTATCTACTGTCAAAGTCGATATATCGATGTATTCTTCGATATTTGTCTCTCGATATATCGATATAAAATTTTCCATCAATGGCAGCCCTACCCTTTTTAAAATGGCAACATAATATCTTGCCCCGGAACATTTATTATGCTTAAGTACAATAGGCATGTGTATAAAAAAAGACATCACTTTTTAGAATCAACCTTTAGATTTTGAAAACAATATGATTTTACTGAACAGTTATTGATTTGAAAAAGTCCATTGGATGTAGCTTTATACACTGGAAAAAAAAAGTTAAATATTTTAAAAGGGACTTTTAAAACTACAATATGGTACGTTATACGATGTCAAAAAAAATACGACCGTGCTAGTATTGTCAATACGGCAGGAGTATTTGATAAAAGAATTAATAAATAAGCGTTTGAATCACACAATTTTCAAAAAAAAAGGTTGCCTATTGTCTCATCAGTACTTAATATATACATACATGAATAATTGAGCCGCGTCACGACAAAACCAACATAATGGTCTGATCAGGATCCATGCTGTTCGCTTACAAACCCTACTACAAGTAGAGAAACTAATAGCGAACGGCATGGATCCTGATCAGACTGCGCGGATGCGCAGGCTGGTCTGGATCCTTGCTGGTCGCAAACGCACTATGTTGGTTTTGTCATGACGCGGCTCAATAATTTTATGAAATAAAATATCTGTATGATAGGAAAGAAATCGAAATCGAATAAAGTATAATAAAATAGAATAGAATAAAAATAGAATAAGAATAAGAATAGAATAGAACATGAATAATAATAACAATAGAATAGAATAAAATTAAATGGAATATAATAGAATAAGATGGACGGATAGATAAAGATATTCAGTATAGTATTCAACAATACATGATACAAATTGTTTTTACACACCGCCAATTCTTGAGGAGTAAATACAAAAAGGCGATATTAAATTAAATAAAAACAAACAAACAAAACATACCCAAACAAAAAAAAAGATAGGAATGAATCAGTATAATAAATGATAAACAAATTTACCATTTATTCCCAATTTATTATAGATGGAAATGACATGCAAATGAGCCAATGCATTATGAATAAATTGTTAATAAATCAGTGAAATGAATTGGTAATGAATTGGGTCCATTTACCAACTTATTATAAATTGTTAATAAATCAGGTTAACAAATGGGTAATGAATTTGGTCCTTTTCTTGACTTAGTCAATGAATTATCAACAAATCAGGTCAATCAATTGGCAATAAATTAGGTTCGCTGACCAACTGATTCATTAATGAATTGCAAATAAATTGTTAATGAATCACTAATAAATTGTATTTTTTCTTCTTCCATAAACCGAAATTCAATGTATTAATGAATCATTAACAAATCAGGTTTGCCTGCTTATATTCATCTAATGGATATTGAATAAATGCAGGTTCCAATGATGGTGTCGATTCCGGAGAAAAATATGAAAATAATAATAATAATAATAACATATCTTGATAAATTTTATTTATTTTTCTTTTATTTTTTACAAACAAAGGCTGACTAGATTAATCAAGAACATTCAACAAGATTAAAATTTGTGAAAAAATCTATGCCACCACATCATAACATTGAAAACTCATAATGTACGTGCATAGCTCGTTTCATAAATATCACTGCAAATAAAACAGGTAATGTCAGGTAAACAAGTAAAGGGGAATAATTCTGGAAATATTCGTGCCTGCTGTTAGGAATATATTTCTAGTTTTAGAAACCAGGGCTTTATGTCAGTCTGAAAACATCTTTGCCTTCCTTTTCAGTGTCTGTCTGGAGCTACACCTTTTTTATTCCTAAAATCATTAAATGTTGAATCTCTATACTGAGGCAATGAATGGCATACTCTGAAATAGAAAAGAAAATTCTCATAAAAAGTATCATATTTATAAATAAAATATCAAAATTTAAACTTAGACTTCTGACATATCACTCTGAAAAAAGTATAATATATTTTTGTTCTATTTGCAATACAATCTGAATTTGAATTTCAACTCGAGACAAATACACTAAAGGACTCAACCACTTTGGACTGTACACGTTCTATATTGAATAAAAACCAGCAGTATATTTCACAAAGTCTGATGATAGATAAATATTTGTTGATAAAACAAACGGGTGAATGTTCGATTTCATTTTCAACAGAGGAATGAACAAATATTTTGTAGCAAGTCCAGTTTTTTACCATTTGCTTCAATTAAATTTAAAACGAAATTGAAAGGCCAAGACATTGAATTACTATATGTACGTGGACAAAATTCAGATTGAGAAGTATTATTTTTTATCATTTACTTAATATTTAAAAAGCACATTGTCATTTTTAAAATGATTAATATATATGTAGCCCTATACTTACGCTTCAAAGATTCATATATGTCATTTCCTTGGAATGCCCTCGTCCCATAACTAATAGCAAACTCTTCACGATCAAAGAAGCCGTCCATCTGCATTTTATTATCTCCCGTTCATCTGCTTTTTACCATCTCACCAGAGTTGCTGATTTTTACGTTCTGTCCTTTCTTTGCTGCTCTTTTCAGTTTTCTGCGAGATAACTAAGTAAAAGAAAAATAGTCTTCTGAAGTCACTTAAAATAAAAAAGAACATCATTTTTCATCGCATTAAGCTCGTTGTTCATGTTGTTTTTATTCAACACAGAGTTACTTTGCAAACAACATGAATTTGGACAAGGAAAATGTAATCCCAGCTAGATTGAGTGCAATATGGGTTTGATATGGATATTTTGAATTTTGACGTGAAAAAATAAAAAAAATAATCTGGATGGATTATGGATTGGACATAATCGATTTGATATGAATTTTTGGGATCGGGAAATGGAAACGAAGCTAAATGTGTTACACTGGACCAATAATGTTTTTTATTGGAACATTACGTGATGCAGATGATAGAGATTAACCGGATAAAATTTTTAATAAAGTTAAAAAAATAAAACCTACTTTGGACTCGTCCAGTTTAAGAAGCCAAAAAGATCTCCAAAGTCAAGTTACTAAACTCATATTGTATATTAAGTCTTAGAAGATTCCATTTATACCTCAGAAACGATTGCAATTGAGCTGCGTCACGACAAAACCAACATAGTGGGTTTGCGACCAGCATGGATCCAGACCAGGATGCGCGTCCGCGCAGTCTGATTAGGATCCATGCTGTTCGCTATCAGTTTCTCTATTTGGTAAGCGAACAGCATGGATCCTGATAAGACTGCGCGGATGCGCAGGCTGGTCTGGATCCATGCTGGTCGCAAACGCACTATGTTGGTTTTGTCGCGACGCGGCTCCTTTTTACTCCTTAAAAAAGGCAAGCATGAGTTTTATATCATTTAAATTATGGTTTTTAGAGCAAAATATACACTTCTTACCTGAAACAAGTAGTTTTCATTGTGAAATTATTGTAATATAAATAGCAAAATATAAACAAAGTAGTATTTTAAATTACATTGATAATACTAAATCACTATAATTGTACTAATTGCTAAATGCAAAAGAACATTAAAAAATCCGATAACTTGCCAATGAGTGACTCTGGAATCTATATAATTGATACACCAAAAAAATTGGAACTTTTGGGAAATAAAAACAAAAGCGTTTCTGAGGCATAATGGGCCTTATAAATATATAGTTTGCGACATCTGTTTTTTGTTCAAGAAGAAAGCTTTAATTTGAAAATTTCTGACTGTTTGTTTTACCTTAAAAATGTCATACAGCGTTAATCCAATCGTCCACTCTGCCCCCTCCGCCTTTAACCCCATTTATCGTTAAAAATGATTGTTTTCTTAATAAACATCTAACTTTTGCATTAGTTTTAATATTATACTTTGTAAAACGATGTATTCTATAGCGTTGATTTTGATATATTTGTATTTCAGGAAGACAGCTACAATGGCGGCGACGCATATTTACGCCAAGAACATTAACAATTCTGTCCACGCCACGGCGAACTTCTTCATTCTCCCATCGACAACACTGTCAACGCAGAATAATAGCGGGTATTCCGACTTAGACATAAACGTGACGTCATTGGATTACGAGGAGGAGAGCGAAGGAATATTTGACAATTTATTTAACCCTGCGTACTTGGTAATCTGTATTATAGGATTGTTAGCAAACGCTTTGTCTATTGCAGCAACTGCTCATATACCCCACGGATTGACGACGCATTCGAAACTGATTATCAGTCTGGCGGTCTCTGACGGCCTGATTTTAGTCTCCAAACTTGCACTGTTCTTATTGTATCTAATCACATCATGGGTATTTTGCTTTTACGCAATGCAACGCGTATTTCTGGACACTGGTGTCGTAGCCACGCTGTTAAATCTGTTGGCAATGGCGGTTGACCACTTCCTGGCCATTATGAAGCCGATGAGTTATCGGAGGTTCATGAAATCCGGACGTTGCAACTGTTTGATTATGGGAATATGGATTATTAGTCTAGCAGTAGGGCTACTAGAAGTTTTCGTAGGTCTAGCACCTGGTGACGATCCGGAACACCCCCAGCCTTTCTGCCTCAAGCTGATTCTGGATGACTTTGATACGGAAATTATCATAATAGTGCACATATTCGTCGTGCTCTTTGGGGTGATCATTTTCTATACAAGAATATACTTTGTCGCCAAAAACATTATTGCACGTGACAGTATGCTGTACCAAGATGAAATGCACAACTACAAAGCCATCGTAACCACTATGCTAATTATTGGAACCTTTACACTCTTCTGGACACCACTCGCGTGTTTCAAGATTTATACACATTTCCATGCCGTCGATTTTATTCACCTTGACAAGGCCGACAACTCTGTGTTTCTTCTGTTTCTTCTCAATTCGTTAGCGGATCCTTTCATTTACGCCACTCGACTTCAAGAAGTCCAAAGGGGTTACAAAGCATTGTTCTTGAAAGTTTTTCCGAGCCGCCGATTTTCGAATAACGAGGAAGAATTCAAGAATCGCAACGCAATCTACTATTCTAAAAGACGTGACACGGCAAACACGCTTGTAAATGACGTCACAACCTGCTCAAGCCCTGTTAGTAACTGTGGAACGATTTGTGATTTTGAAAAGAAGCCAGAAGAAACGTCTCTCATGCCTGGTGATTGCTGCGATGAAGAATGATAAATGTTCAGCTCGTGAAAATTCGGCGTATTTCGCCACATTCCGGAACATATTGCCACATTCCGGAACAGTCGTCTACATTGCGGAACCTGAAAAAATAACACAATAAAACTATTTGCATGACTTAAAGCAGATATATAATTTGTTAATTTTTCCACTTGCCTTGTAAGTGACAACGTTAAACAAAAATTTGTGATATTTGTCGATAGTCTCAACTTTTCGGCCCTTTCCGTCAGACTATATAGATAATAGCCGAGGACGTTCCGATTGATTAGTCAATACATTATATACAGGAAAATATCGTCGTCGTCTCGCTGACAATAAAGTATAGAAAACTTATATTTCATTGGAGTACTTGTATGATTTTTTCCCTGGTGATTCAAGTACAATGAATTACTTTGATTTCGTGCAATGTGTATAGTCCTAGTCAAATTTAAAGGTACATGTATATTATTCCTAAGGAATGAATAAATCTGTTAAAACAAACACACGTAAGTGTTTTAACATTTTAAAAGCGGTTTGAGAGCATGTTATATGCCTATTACTTGATGGAGGTAGCACTGAGAAGGAGTATGGAATTTTATTTCTTAAAAGTAGCAAAATGTTAACAAAGTAGTATTTTGACTTCCATACAAACTAAAATACTTAATCACTATAATTGTACTAATTGGCAGAACATAGTAGAAGCAAAATATCATTAAGGATATTGACCAATGGATATCTTTTTGAAAACTGTAACAGGACACAAAAAATAGAAAAAGATTTTGAAATATATAAATGAAATCATTTCTGAGATATATAGTGGTCCTTTAAAACACTTTTTTCAAATTCATTTGTACATTATTTTAAAAATTTACACATGTTTCTCATGCAGGGTAATAGTGCATATTAGCAACCCGAGGGCCCCGGATGTTATTTTAGTTCTCGGGTTACTAATATTCATTATTATCCTTTTTTTTATTATACCGAACCAACATTTTTATGAATTATTACTCCGAGGGAGTTTATCAGGGGAGATAACTAGAACATTACGATTTCTTAAGTCTATATAGATTACTCGCCCCTGGGGAAAATTGCAGAATGTTTACACATGTCATTGTTTGTGTTTAAATATATTGTTATTCAAATAAAAGATCTAAATCGCTTAATGTAAACGCTCTTAACACTACGCTTTTTTGTTTACGTGCATATACTCACTTAAATAAACTACTTCATTGCAATAAAAATATAAAAATGTGATATGCAGATAACTTGCCATACCAATATTATGAAAATTGTTCGACCGAATGATATAAATTTCCGTTATCGTGCCCTACTTATTATATTGAAAAGTATCATGTTTATAAATCTATCAGGTCTATATGGTTCAATTAACCCATAACAAATAATAAATTTCTCCCATGGACTTGTCCATCTTCCGGTGTTGGGACTGTCCATTGCAGTATCAATTTTAGGGTTATCAAGATTAATTATTTTGGGATTGTCAGACAACAGTATAGAGCCTTGTCATGTTGCACGGAAGTCCAGGCTGGCCTGACTATACTGGTGAAACAGGTTGACCACATTTGGCTTTGGCAAGCTAATGTTATGATTGGCTGGACCATCATGATGCAGACTGTGTGACAAGACTTTCTTTATGAAGTACTATGTTCACCTATTTTCTTTATAAAAAGTAGAATATGAAGCTAATAGTTAAAGCAGCATTCCTCCTGATTCATGCTTATTTTCATGAAAATTTTGGAAATGTATTGAAAGAAAACCACTATGAAGTGATCAAAAGAAGAAATTTTGACAAAGCAAACGGCGCTTACAATCCACGTAAATTACCTAAATCATGTCGAAATACGCATAAATAGCACTTTCTACGTTAGTCACGCAGTGGAAATATGATGATAAATACTGCAAATCATCATGTAAATGTAAATTATTTCTAGAATTGTTAAATCTGTTTACTTTTCTTAAACAAGTATTAAATTTATTCTCAAGTTTGATTTTTTTAAATATTTTGGCTCATCTGGAGGCACGAGGCTTTAAAATAAAATAATAGAATAAACGAAATATTGTTATTTTAATGCTAAAATAATTAACGTGTACTGTCCATTATATCATGAAATCATGTTAACGAAATTCTATTATGGAAATAAATTATAATTTTCTTGTTTTCCAGTCCATATATACTGTAATGTTGAATGACACATGTTTGCAAATTTGTTTAATAAACTCAGTGCACTAAACAGAGTTTGTCTTTAACTATCAAAGGCTACAACAAACCTAGCCACGGAAAAGATGTTATCCTCTAGCAGACGTTAACCTAGATAAACAAATACAATGGACCTTTCTGGTTTTTCGCAGCGGAACATTTAGCCACACCTTATCTGTTCATTGCTAGGTCAACTGTTCCCGTGAAAGACATGCACTGATTTTGTTATAAAAGACACGCAGTGCCGTGGCATTTAAGCAATGTTGCACACTTACTTATACACTGACATCTTTGTTTCCATCATGAGGGTAAAAAATCTAGAGAACTACAGGTCGTCAATGTTTATAGAATTGCATGACTTAAATTGCTAGGGATATAAACACCTTTCTACTGTGCCCCCGTTAGGGCCATTGCGACGCACACATTTTTGTATTTTGATGTATAAAGCCTTAGTTTAAACTTTTGAATAATCTGTTACAAATTGAAAGCGGGCCAAACGGACATTTGCCCTCTTAGGCAGATATTTGCCCATTGCCGCATATTTGCCCCCCCCCCCCCACTTTTTGTCACAGTGGACATGTCCCCCGCGTATGTTTTGGAAGGTTGGATAGTTGATACCGTATTCATGAAAGATACGTTAAACTCTGGCTTCATATAGAGTTGGTGTACATATGTTGTTAACGTCCGTAAATAATGTTTAATAGTCTCTTACAATTCTGTTTTAGAATGACTATATGCAATGCATATTTATACATTTTATGCATTGATGTTATGAATTGTACAATGATGAGACTTAACTAAAATATTAAAATATAACGTCTAAAACAATTAATATTGTTAATAAATCACAGTTTCATACAGACTGTTTATACAAATGTTGTATGTTATGCCCTCGCTTTATGAGGCACATATAGCTATTAAAGATACGTTATGCCCTATCAAACGTGTGTTACAATTTTCTATGAAAGATATCGTCTTAAAGATGTAAGACACAAAGCTATTCAAAACATGTAACATCCTACCTGTTAAAGGCGATAAAAATGCCTTACATTAAATACATATTTTAAACAGGTCCTAAAAGGAACTCAGCTGAGGTCAAAAAACCTAAATCCATAAAATTCAAAATTCTTACACAAGTCAAGTGAAGCACTTAGAATGGAAAGATCTGCAAAGTCTTATACAAATCTATATAATTAAATTGAAAACCGATTTTCTATGCAATTCTTAGCCAGAGTTGAGGAAAAAGCGTTGCAACGCTTTTAATTGTTTGGTTATTTTGCATAAAAACATGACGATTCTGGAAAACGGGGAGAAGAAATTATCTGAAAATTTTGCACGACAGTAATAATCCATTTGTACATAAGTATTGGACAAATATTTTAGTTTATGTTTAATCTCTGGACTACGATTATCTTTGTTAGTTATTGTTTCGTTGTTAAAAGGATATATAGAAGATTGTATCTGACGCTGTTCTAATCGCTAAGACAAAATATACTCTTTTATTGTTATAGTCTATCTTTGTTTCCAGAAAAAAAGTTGATTTTGTGACATGGATGACAGTTTCATACAGATTGTTCTATATCTGTTGCATACTGAATTCTATATATGCCCGAAAAAGGTTACCGAGTTTAAAGCTTCATGTCTCCAGACGAGCCAAAATATTTTTAAGATTATCAAACTTGAGAAAATGTACTAAGAATTTAAGAAAAGTAGAAAGATTCAAGATTCAAGTAAGAATTTTCATGTTATGTGCAAATTAATGACTGATTTTGCAATATTTATTACTATATTTCTACTGCGTAATAACACAGTAAGGGTTATTTATGCATATTTTGACATTTCGTTGACAAACAACGTGGATTGTATGTGTAAATTACTGTCTTTATTCACTTTACAGTAGTTTACTTTTAAATACATTTTTTAAAATTTGTGATATGAATTAATATGAATCTGGAGGTGCGCGGCTTTAAAGTTTTATTAGAATAGTTGTACTTGTTATCCATTCTGTTAATGGATTTCAACGTTTGAAAATTTGATGAATTAATCCCTAGTTGGGAACGTTACACTGAGTTTAAATTAACCATTTATGAATGTTGTCATGTTTGAATATAAATCACGCTAAAATGATGTTACTCTTAATTACCCTTTATCAAAAAAATAAAATAAAAAATAAATAAAAATTAAAAGAAAGCGTGTGACATAGTGATATTATTATCATTGCTATAATAATTTCTCTTTTTTATGAAAATATGAAATATTCAGACTTTTTGTAAAATTGTTTTTGTAATCAGACAGTCTTCTATCTTAACATGTTGGTTCAATATCACTTGATATTCTGAAAAGCAAATAGCTGTCGAGGTGATGTCGGATACTGTCCATCCGGAAACTATTATACCACCCCGTGTGGCAGCCATATGTTATATATTTTCATACAAGAAAGAAAACAACAACATAAACACCCACAAAAAGACCCCCCCCCTGCCCAAAAACAACAACAACAAAAAAAACACCAACAAAAAAAAAAAAAAAACAAAAAAAAAAAACAAAAACAAACAAACAAACAAAAAAAAAACAACAAAAAACAAACCCCCCCCCCCCCAAAAAAAAAAACAAAAAACAAACCAAACTTACCTTACAACCTTTTACCTATCATACAATCGTATTATAAGCCAATGATATGAATAAAGAGTCCAGGGGAGATTACAAGTATAATTCTGAATACGGCGGCACGTAGGAGTTATATGCCCCTGACGACAACAACAGAGACGCTAAAATACCATCAGAACTCTTTACTTAAGTTTAATGAAGTTTTATATTGCAGGGTATATTAATGTGCAAAAATAAGCATTTTAATCGCCGTTTAGCCGGTTATTCCAAAATCATTTTTTCTTTTCGTGAAATTAAAAATAGAGGTAACGTTTCTACTTTTAAGAAAACCATTCCGAATATATGGTTGCCCCTTATAAGCCTCCGTACTAGTTTCGAGCCTTTGAACTACTCGAAAACTGATGCCCGCGCGGGCCTAGTTGAAAATAAAACTTGAAACGTAAATCTAGCAAGTGACGTTGCCATCATACTCATGAAAGTTGAAATTTGCTCTAAGCATTATATTTTACAAGTTTGATTGTCAATGATTATTATTTACTTTCTACCGTTAATCTATAAAATGCTCTAAATTCTGCAGAAAGGACATGGTGTCTTTTAACAGTGGAGAAAGAACACCGTATAACAAAGGAGTTTCGTCAATGGCGTCATTGCATTTTGTTGGCATGAACGTGCAGAATAATGTTAGATGGATTCATTTTACAAATACCGAATGTCATATTAAAAATGAAAATTCAACATTTTAAAAATCACGCGACAAATATGAGGAAGCGTGGCCTTCAAACGTTGAAGTTGATTCACGATTGGTCTAAAATGGGCACATTTTGCATAAGTATTTGGAATGATGATTATAAAACAATAGAAATGTAACAATTAGATATTCATTATGCGCAATACAGGGGAGATTACTGATCAATAATTGTCACATACTTTGATAATAGATAGCTCCCGTTTTTGAAAAACAAACTGAAAGGAATGCTACATAAGACATCAGAACGACTGTGTCAAATAAAAGGACATCTCTTTAAATATAAAGGCATTCAGAAACTAAAATGACATTATTTATTGACATTTTGGTAATTTCATTTAACAAAAGTAGTTACAAAAATAACAATCTTTGATTCAAGCGTAATTAAAACTTTACGAGGATTAAATTTATTAAATATTCTACAATTTTTTGTTTATAACCCACCGAAAAGATCTCATTTTAAAAAAAATATTTAATCAAATTTTAAAATGCTTCAAAACATTCCTCTTTAGGTGTAAAGTGACACAAAAATACGATAATGTATATCGATATGATGAAAATTAATGAGCAGCGTCCAAAATCGAAAATCAATTTTTTTTGAAAATGTTTCGTAGAAATGTAAAGCAGCTTTACATTTCTAAGACAGAGAGAGGGTGTCTACCAAATCCACCTAAAAGCCACAATAT